GCGGCGCTCTAATTGATTGTGGTAGACTCGCGCCCGGGAGAGCAGCGCTCTACGCACGTCCGAGCTCGAGAGTCCGAGCAGCGCTCTCCGCGCTCCCGAGCGTCGCTCGAAGTTCGCCGCTCGTCCGCGCCCTTAGAGCACGTCCGCGGACGGCGACCGCCCCCCCTCGGCGAAGAAGCGCGGCGGCGGCGGCGGCGGCGGCGCGGCGCCGCGGCGCCGGCGGAGGCACAGCGCGGCGAGCGGCGCGGGCCGGCCGAGCGCGGCGGCGCTCGTCCGGAGCAGGAGCGCGAAGGCGAGGAGCCGCGCGACGGCGCCGAGGCCCAGGAGCGTCGCGACGTTGATGTAGCGGAGCTTGTGGTGGTCCCAGTAGACCGACGCGTCCTCGACGAGGTAGCCGTAGTTGAGCATCTGCGCGAGCGCGGACGACGACGCGTCGGCGTAGAACGTCGGCGGCAGCCGGAAGGCCTCGGACATGCGCGCGACCTCCTCGACGAAGAGCGCCTCGACGAAGTAGCGGTCGTGGGACGCGTAGTGGACGACCTTGAGCGCCGCGGGCATGGCCGCGAGCGTCGGGTGCACGCCCGAGAACATGGCGAAGAGCAGCGCGACGCTCAGCGCGCCGAGCTGGGCCGACGCCGGCGGCAGGCAGGCCGCGGCGACGTAGCCGAAGCCCGACGCCGCGAACGCGTCGCACGCGCAGAGGAGCGCGTAGGCGCCGACGCCCGCGCGCGGCCGCGCGAGCGGGTAGAAGCCGAGGACGAAGACGACGGCGAGCGCCCCGAGCCGCGGCAGGTCCGCGACGTACTTGGCGAGGACGTGCGCGCCCGGCGCGAGCCCGCCGCCGCCGAAGTCGCCGCACTCGCGGAGGAAGACCGCGCGGTCGCGCGCGAGCGTCGGCACGGCCGCGAGCGTCAGCGTCATGCCCAGCGCGATGGACACCATGAAGTTGACCAGCTGCAGGTTCTTGAACTTGAAGTCGACGTAGAGCAGGCCGAGCCCGCCGCCGGCGAGGATCTGCGCGGCGACGTCGCCCGCGAGCGCGGCCGCGGACCGCCGCTGCTGGAGGCCCGCGCGGCCGAGCTGCAGCGCGAACTGGGCCGCGACGCCCGGCGCGACCCGCGGCGGCGGCGCCGCGCCGCCGCGCCGGCCCGGCGGCCGCCGGGGCCGGCCCGCGCGCCACTCGCGCGCGACGTCGACGCGCGCGTCCGCCGCGTCGAGCGCTAAAATCTGCATGAAGAAGTCCGGCGGCGACCAGTCCGGCGGCACGCCGAAGCCGAGATTTTCGAACCAGGCCGACGCGGCGCCGGGCGCGCCGAGGTACGCCGTGCGCCCGCCCGGCGCGAGGAGGAGCACGTCGTCGAAGAGCGTGTAGATCTGCATCGACGGCTGGTGGAGGACGACGGCGACGGTCGAGCCGCGCCGCGCCATGGCGTGGAGCGCGCCGACGACGTCCAGAGACGTCGCGGAGTCCAGCCCGCTCGTCGGCTCGTCGGCGAATAAGAGCGTCGGGTCCGCGACGAGCTCGATGCCGACGTTGACGCGCTTCCGCTGCCCCCCGGAGATGCCGCGCCGCACCGCGTCCCCGACGACGGCGTGCCGCAGGCGCTCGATGCGGAGCACGCGGAGCACGTCGCGGACGACGGCCCGCCGGAACGCCGAGGACGAGGCGCGGGGCAGCCGCGTCGCCGCGCTGAAGAGCAGGATCTCGTTGACGGTGAGCTCCGTGCACATCGTGTCCTCCTGCGGAACGAAGCCGATCACGGACCGCAGCCCGCGCAGGCTCGGCGTCGTCTCGCCGTTCACGGAAAGCGCGCCGCTCACCGACGCGCGGACGTCGCCGCGGCCCGCGAGCACGCAGAGCAGCGACGTCTTGCCGGCGCCCGACGGGCCCATGACGGCGAGGACGCGGCCCGACCGCGCGTCGCCCGTCGCGCCGTCGAGGACCCGGAGGCGCCGCCCCTCCGCGCGGACCTCGAGGCCGAGGTCCGCGAAGCCGACGTCGATGCGCTCCGCCTCCGCCTTGCGCGGCAGCGACGGCAGGTCCCGCGCGCGGTCGTCGTCGTCGACGACGAACGGGTTCGTCGACGTCGAGCTCCGGTCGTCGTCGTCGCCGGCGGCCGGCGGCGCCTCGCCGAGGAGCGACGACCCGCGGGCCGCGGCGCGCCGGTCGAGGATCGCGTCGAGCCCCGCCTCGAGCGTCTCCCGCTGCCGCTCGCGGAACCGCCGGAGCTCGGCGCGGACGAGGCGGCTGCTGTGGTAGAGCATGAAGAAGAAGAAGAAGGACCCGAGGAACGCCGCCGCGGCCGCCGACGACACGTCGGGCGCCTCGAGGCCCTCCTCCCCGCAGCGCGCGATGAAGGGGCACCGCGTCGGCTCGAAGGAGCCCGTCGGGCAGTAGTGCTGCGCCGGGCAGCGCCGCGGGTCCACCGTGGGGTCCGGCGCGTAAAACCCCGCGGGCACGAGCGTCTCGAACATGACGCCCGGGCACGTCACGTTCGCGCCGCCGCGGTAGCCCCTCGAGCTCGGCGTGTGCTTGAGCGTCACGGCCCAGGCGCACGCGTCCGCGTCCGCGTCGTAGGTCGACGGCGCGCAGGCCGCGCCGTAGAGGCACGCGACGAAGCACGTGAAGCCCTCGGGGCAGAACATGCCCGGCGGGCACGCCAGCGGCGCGCCGTCGGCCGACGCGTCCGCGGGGTCCTCGTAGTAGCCCCCCGCGCAGCCCCGTCGCCGCCGGCTCCAGGGCCCGCAGCGCGCGTCGTCGTCGTCGCCCTCGACCAAATCCGCGAGGCGCGCGCCGTCGCAGTGGCCCCGGGCGTAGAGCGGCGACGACGCGTTCATCCAGGGCCGGTCGCCGTCCGCGAGGCTCTCCCAGGGCACGAGGCCCCGGGGCGACCGGTGCACGAGCCAGCTGTAGGCGAAGGACGCCTTCGCGCGCGCGTCCGCGGCGATGTGTCGCGCCGTCGCGTTCGGCCCGACCTCGAGCGCGAGCTGCTCCCGGGACAGGATCGTCATGCGCGCGAGGTCCACCTGGAGCTGCACGACGACGCCGAGGCCCAGGGCCAGGACCGCGACGCCCAGGCACGCGCCCGCGCGCGCGAGCGCCGTCGCGGAGCAGCAGCGGCGCCGCGATGAGGGTTGCGGCGCCTCCGCGTTCAAGGGCGCGTAGCGCGCCTCCGCCGCCATCAAGCTGCGAACCGAACACAGGGAGCAACACCTCGAGAAGGCGCCTCGACCCCGAGGTTCGCCATGCATCATGACTTCATACTTGCTTCACACAAAGCTGTGACAAAAGCATGGCGAGCCCTGGCTCAGTTATTTCCTTCGCATCAATGAGGGCTCAACGCCGCACCGTCGCCTCCTTCCGCGGCGTCTCCATCGCCTCCAACGCAGCGATGCGCGCTCAACGCCGCGCCGTCGCCTCTTTCCGCGAGAATTTCAAATTGCCGGCGCGGCTCTGGGAGCAGCGCGAGGTGCTGCGCTGCGTGGACCTGCACTGCGGCGGCGAGCCGGCGACGGTCGTCTTCGGCGGCGGCGGCGTCGCGGACGCGCCGGGGGCGACCATGTTCGCGAAGCGGGCCCACGTCATGGAGCGCATGGACCGCTGGCGCGAGGTGCTGCTCCACGAGCCGCGCGGCTACCCCTGCAGCAACGTGGACTACCTCGTCGAGCCGACCCTGGCGGGCGCCGACGCCGGCTTCGTCATCGCCGAGCAGGCGAAGATCTACCCGCTCATGTCCGGCCACAACACGATCTGCGTCGCGACGGCGCTCGTCGAGTGCGGCGCGCTGCCCGAGGACCGGCGGGCGTCGTTCCTGCTCGAGGCGCCCGGCGGGCCCATCCCCATCGCCGCCGACGTCGCGGCCGACGGCCGCTGCGAGCGCGTCACCTTCGGCGGCACGCCGTCCTTCGTCGGCAAACGGGACGCGGTCGTACGACTCGACGCCGCCGCGTGCGCGGCGCTCGCGCTCCCGGCGACCGAGGTGCGCGTCGACGTCGCCTACGGCGGCATGTGGTACGTCATCGTCGACGCCGCGGACCTCGGCCTGACCCTCGAGCCCGCGGAGGGCGCGCGGCTCCGCGCCGTCGGCGAACTCGCGGACGCCGGCGCCGCGAACGGGCGATTCGACGCCGCTTCGCATTTGCGTTCCAGAAAACGCGTCCGAGGTCGCTCCGAGAGACGATCGCTCGTCCAAGGATCAGCTGAAACGAGTGGCCGAGGGAGGGAGGACGTTCGCACCCTCGCGCCGCGCAGGTGAAGGCGGCGTGCCGGGACCAGCACCCGGTCGACCACCCGGACTTCGACTACCCGGGCCCGGACATCCTCGCCTTCCGGGGCCCGTCGGCGACGCCCGGCGTCGACGCGAAGAACACGGTCGTCATGAGCAACGGCTACAGCGGCATGCTCGACCGGTCGCCGTGCGGGTCCGGCACGTGCGCGATCATGGCGCTCCTGCACGAACGGGGCGAATTGCGCATCGGCGAGGACTTCGCCCACGAGTCCGTCGTCGGGTCCATCTTCACGGGGCGGCTCGCGGCGACGACGACCGTCGGCGGTTTTCCCGCCGTCGAGCCGACGATCGCGGGGTCCGCGTGGATCACGCGGTACGCCGAGGTCGTCGTGGACCCGACGGACCCGTTCCCGGCGGGGTACCGCGTCGCGGACATCTGGTAATGACCCACTCCGGACCCGTTCCCGGCGGGGTACCGCGTCGCGGACATCTGGTAATTTCCCACGAGTTCCGGACTTGTTCCCGGCGGGGTCCCGCGTCGCGGACATCGGGTAATGTCCCGCGAGTTCCGGACCCGTTCCCGGCGGGGTACCGCGCCGCGGACATCGGGTAACTTACTTCCGCAGGTGGTAATACGACTCGCCGGCCGCGAGGAGCCACTTGGGGTCGACGCGGGACGCGTGCCGCGCGACGGTCGCGCCGTCGTCGTCGAGGGCGAAGTCGCAGAAGCAGACGTAGTCCGGCGGCGTGCCGAACTCGGCGTGGATCGACTGGGGGTGGAGGGCGACCTCGCGGTCCGCGCGGAGCGTGCGGTACGTCGCGTCCGGCGCGAAGCGGGCCGCGCGCGCGAAGAAGCCCGCGACGAGCGCGCGCCGCGGCGGGTCCGGGTCGTCGCCGCAGGACGCCAGGGCCGTGCCGTCGCTCGTGGCGAAGGCCGCGAGCCACTTCTCCAGCTTGGGCCGCACGCGCGCGGCGCCGCGGAGCGCCGATAGGTCGAGGCCGCGCGCGGCGCANAAGGGCAGCGGGTCTGCGCGCGCGTCCCGCAGCTCGAGGAACCGCCGCAGGCACGCGCCGTAGGTCGCGTGGTCGCCGTCGAGGGACACGAGGTCGTCGCGGAAGGCGCGCGTCTTCTCGTTNTGCGCGTCGCGCTGCGCCTGGGACCGCGGCGTCGGCAGCGACCGGAGCGGCCGGCCCGGCGCGAGCACCGCGGCGTAGTCGAGGACCTCGGACGCGCACCCTTCGTCGAGGGATGCTAAAAGGACCCGCGCGAGGCGCGGCTCCGCCGGCGCGAGCGCGAGCCGCTCGCCGAGGGGCGCCGTCAGCCGCGCCTCCGCGTCGAGCGCGCCCAGGGCCAAGAGCTCCTCGAGCGCCAGCAGCAACAAGGTCTCCGGCAGGGGGCTCAGCAGGTCGAATTCCAGCACGTTGTCGACGCCGAGCGCCTTGAGCTGCAGTAAAGCCCAGCTCAGCTCGCTCCGGCTCGACGCCGGCGGCGTCCTCTCCGGAAAGAGGTCGCTCGCGAACGCCGCCTCGGTGTAGAGCCGGTAGCACTTGCCGGGCCCCGTGCGCCCCGCGCGGCCCGCGCGCTGCACCGCCGACGCCCGCGAGCAGACCGTGGTCGCCAGCACCTCGGCGCCCGCGGCCTCGTCGAAGACCGGCAGGCGGCAGAGGCCCGGGTCGATGACGACGGCGACGTCCGGGATCGTCAGCGACGTCTCCGCGACGTTCGTCGCGACGACGACCTTGCGGTATTTCCCCGTGCCCCGCGCCAGCGCGCGCTTCTTGTGGTCGCCCGGCGACGCCGCGTGGAGCGCGCAGACGTCCGCGGGCCGGTCCGGGTCCCGGAGCGCCGCGCGCAAGAGCCGGCAGCACTCCTCGACCTCGCGCGCGCCCGGCAAAAATACCAGGATCGCCGCCTCGAGGCGCCGCTCGGAGGCGTGGGCGCGCTCGACGGCCTCGGCCGCCGCGGCGACGTAGTCGGCGCCCCGGGGCGCCTCGGCGAAGAGGACGTCGACGGCGTACTGGCGGCCGTCGACGACGGCGACGGCGGTATCATCAACGCCGAAGAAGCGCTCGAAGGCGTCGGCGTCCGCCGTCGCCGACATGACGACGACGCGCAGCGCGTCGCCCCGCGCCGCGCGCGCGCGCATCGCCTTCTTCAGCAGGCCGAGGAGCAGGTCCGTCGCCAAGCTCCGCTCGTGCGCCTCGTCGACGACGACGACGCTGTAGTGCGCGAAGAGCGGGTCGAAGAGCGCCTCCCGCAACAGCCAGCCGTCCGTCGTGAACTTGAGCCGCGTCCGCTCCGGGCACCACCGCTCCTCGAACCGCGCCGCGTAGCCGACGGGCCCTCCCACGCCGTCGCAGCCGAGCTCGCCCGCGACGCGCGTCGCGAGCTCGAGGGCCGCGAGCGCCCGCGGCTGCGTGCTCACGACGCACCGCGGCGGCGCCGCCCAGCCCGCCTCGATCAGGTACTTGGGCAGCTGCGTGCTCTTGCCGCAGCCCGTCTCGCCGACGACGACGAGCGCGCTCCGGTTCTCGAGCGCCCAGAGCAGCGTCTCGCGGTGCGCCGCGATGGGCACGTGCCGCGAGCTCATCGGTGGCGTTGGCGCGCGCGCGGTGGACGGCTCTACGAGGTCGCCATGCTCTCGAGCGACGATCGGCGCGCTGCGCCGCGATTGCGCGAACGTTGCCGCGGTTGAGCCTCGCGCCCGAGCCGCGGCGCCAACGTCGGTCGCCTCGCACGGCCCGCCGCGCCCCTTACACGACGTCCTAGAGCCGCACACTACCCTCTACAACATCCCTCCGATGGCGAGCTTCAATCGTCGTCGCGTGCTGGGGGACAAGAAGAACGCGCTCATGGCGCTCCCGGAGGACGCGGAAGCGCAGTCCCCCGTCGTCGTCAAGCCCGCGACGCCGAAGCGCGCGCCGTCGGTGACGTCCCCGGTGAAGCCGACGGCGACGGACATCGCGGACGCGGACGCGGCGCTCGCGCGCATGGAGGCGGAGCTCGCCGCGAAGCAGAAGATGCCGCCGCCGCCGCCGCCGCCGCCCGGCGCGCCCGGCGACGACGACGACGACGACTCGTCGTCCTCGGAGGAGGACGAGGCCGCGGCGCGCACGCGCAAGTCGACGAGCTGGCGCAATTCCGTCGGCCGCCGCGACAGCAGCTCGCGGCGGTCGTCGCTCGACCACGTGACGCCCGCGCAGCGCATGGCCCTGCGGCGCCTGTCGAACATCCTGCGGGACAACGGCGCGGGCCGGCGCGCGCGCGAGGCCGAGGAGTCGGCGGAGCTCCGGGCGACCCATGCCGAGAAGGAGGTCGAGCGGAAGCGGCTGTCGATGCGGCGCCGCCGGCTCCGGTCCATCGCCAAGCTCATGGACCTGAGCCTCGTCTGGGAGTGGCTCGAGACGGAGGACGGCGACGCGGCGGCGGGCGACGACGCCGACGAGCCCCTCGACGTCGCCGCGGCCGAGGACGACGCGGCGCTCCGCGTCGTGCAGGAGCTCGCGGAGCAGGTCGCGGAGCGGCAGGGCGCGAGCCTGCGGCTCACGGTCGCCGAGCCGACGCCGACGCGCAAGGGCCGCGAGGCGCGCACGCGCGCCTGCCGCGCGATCCGCGACCTGCGGAGCCTCGCGGCGCTCGCCGCGCGCGTCGCGTCCTACGACGAGGCGCGCGGCTTCTACCAGATCCGCGTCGCGCTGCCGCTGCCCGGCGCGGGGTCCCAGGTCGTCGTCGTCGAGCGGTCCTGGCGCGACCTGCTCACGCTCACGCGGGGCCTCACGGCGCGCCTCGCGCCCGGCCACGCGAAGCTCCTACCCAAGCTCCCGAAGCCGCGGCCGCTCAGCGAGCTCAAGCGCGGGCTCCGGAACCTGACGATGAAGAACCGCAAGGGCGACCGCAAGTGGCAGAAGACGAAGACGCCCAAGGTCGACGCCTGGCTCAACACGGTCCTCGCCCTCGTCGTCAAGGCCTCGGCGCAGGCCGACGCGCGCCGCGACGGCGCCGCGCGCCGCGACGCGGACGAGTACCTCGAGGACTTCCTCTTCAAGTTCGGCCGCGTCGTCGAGGCCGCGCCCTAGGCCGCCCCACCCCTCGCTCGCCCGAAGCGCCGCCGCGACCGCGGGCGCTCCGCCGAAATACCCCCCCCCCTCCGTTACGACATTCGACTCAGAGCCGCGCGAGGAACCGCGCGAGCGCGGCGTCCGGCGGCGCGGCCTCGTCCCAGGCCGCGACCTGCGCGTAGAGCGCCGCGGCCTGGGCGACGCGGGAGCTCGTCGTCTCGCGCGTCGTCACCGTCGTGTGCTTCTTGCGCTTGCGGATCTCCTTCTTCGTCGGCGACGACGGTTTCTCGTCGCCGGAGCCCGCGGACCGCGGCGGGTGGAAGGGGTGCCAGCCCGGGTCCGGGTCGTCCGTGTGGTCCTTGAGCGCGCCCCGGTCGACGTAGACCCACTCGTCGTCGGCCGTCGTCGCCGCGCCGCCGCCGTGGAGCCACTTGTCGACGCAGTCGCGCGCGGGGACGAGCTTCAGCGGGGGCGCGTGGAGCGGCGCGGCCGCGGCGTACGCCGCGCGGCAGCGGCGCTTCAGCTCGGCGTCGGACGTCGCCACGAGCACGGGCGACAGGCCCGCGCGCGCGGCCGCGGCGACGTCGCCGACGATCGCGTCGTCCGCCGTCCGCTCGGCGCCCGCGAACTGGACGACGAGGCCCGCGGCGAGGAAGGTGGCCGGCGCGTCGCCGTGGTCCACGACGGCGACGACGCGCTGGTCGAGCCCCAGCGCGCGCGCCCAGCGGCACATGGCTCCGCAGAACGCGGCCGCGTCGCACGACCCGGGCCCCGCGCTGCCGCGGACGTTGTTGGCGTCCACGAGGACGAGGCCGTTGCGCAGCATGGCGCGGCTCACGCCGCAGGCCTTCTCGTCGGCGCGCACGGCCGTCCGCGGCGGCTTCTTGGCTTTCTTCGGGGCCGGCGCGGCTTTCATGGTCGTCTGCTGCGTCGCCGAGGACCGGTAGGCCCAAAACCCGAGGCCCACGACGACGAGCCAGAGGAAGCCCTCGAGCGAGATCATCGTCGGCTGCGGCGGCCCGGGCGGCGCGCGCGGACCGGCGCCCGACGCACCCACGACGACGCGGGCAGCGCTGCCGAAAGAGACCACTTCAAATGCGAAAAACGACTCCGAATCTTTAGAAGTCTATGCTGCCGTGGAGCTCTCGGGCAGCCCCCTCGGTGTTCGCGGCCCCCACCCATGGCGCCGCCGCCGCCGCCGCCGCCGCCCGCGGCGACGCCGCCGCCGCCGCCGCTCCCGCCGCCGCCGCCGCCGCTCCCGCCGCCGCCGTCGCTCCCGAGCCGGCCGCTGACGGACCTCGACGCCCGCGAGCTCACCTTCCTGATCAACGAGCTGCGCGCCAAGCCCGCGGCCGTCGCCGCGGAGTACGTCGCGCCCATGCTCGAGGCCTACGCGTCCCACGACGACGGCACGCCCGTCGTCGTCCGCAGGGACGGGCGGAGGCTCGCCGTGCGCGAGGGCCGAGACGCGTGCGAGCGCGCGATCGCAGACCTGAAAGCCGGCGGCCTCGCGCTCTGGCCCTACGAGTTCGACGCGACGCTAAGCGAGGTGGCCAAGGGCCGCCTCCGGGCCTACGTCGACGACCCGGCGAGCCTCGGCGACGGCGCGGCGCTCGCCCGGGCCGTCGAGGCCGCGGGCGAGTGGAGCGGCGGACTGGCGGACTGCGTCGTCGACGGCGAGGCCGCGGCCGACGAGATCCTGCACCACCTCGTCGTCGGCGACGGCGACCCGGAGCGCCGCGACCGGGCGAACCTGCTGAGCGTCGTCTACCGCAGGCTCGGGCTCGCGCTGTGCTCCTACGAGACGCCCCTCGGCGACGCGCGCACCGTCGCGAGCCTCGTCTTCGCGTCGGCCTTCGAGCCCCACCCGCCGCTCTACGAGGCCGTCTTCGGCGCCGACAGCGCCAGGTTCCTGGGCCTGCAGCTCGCGGCGCGCCAGGTCCTCGCGGGGCCCGCGGCGGGCCGCGAGGCCGCGGCCGTCCGGGCCCTCGCGCCGGGCGGCCAGGCCGAGACGGCGGGCGTCGTCGTCGGGAGCCGCCTCGTGTCGGCGAACGGCGTCCCCATCGCGGGCTACGACCACGCCATGGCCACGGTGAAGCACCTCCCGCGGCCCCTCACGCTCGTCCTGGCGAAGCCGGCGGCGGCCTAGGTCGGCGCGGTCCGGGAGCGTAGGGCACGCGGCGTGTTGGGGGGCAGGCGTGTTGGGGGCTGCTTCTTGCGGTTCTCCCCAGGCTCAACAGGTTCAAGGGGCCTGCAACCGCGCCTCATGAGATGTGAAGTCCTAGTTGAACTCGCATTGACGCCAGTGGTGAAATTGAGCTTCGCAAAACCAGTCTGGGCCGGCCGCGCACAGAACGAGCCACGATGCCGCTTTCGCTCGCCTACGAGGTGGAGATCCCCGGCGTGGACGTCGCCGCGTACGACGCCGCCTGGGCGTCGGACCCGACGATCACGGTGAACGGCGAGAAGCGGCGCGTCGACGCGTCTAAAGTCACGGGCTCGACGACGCTCCTCGATTTTCTGCGTTTAGAATGCGGGCTCACGGGCGCGAAGCTCGGCTGCGGCGAGGGCGGCTGCGGCGCCTGCACGGTCGTCGTGTCGACCTGGGACGTGTCGGCGCGCAAGCCCGTGCACCGCTCCATCAACGGCTGCCTCGCGCCGGCGCTCTCGTGCGTCGGCGCCGCAGTCACGACCGTCGAGGGCATGGGCAGCGCGGCGGCCCCGCACCCCATCCAGAGCGCCCTCGCCGAGGGCCACGGCTCCCAGTGCGGCTTCTGCACGCCGGGCATCGCCGCGAGCATGTACGCGTTAATCACGCCCGAGACGACGGTGGCCGACGTCGAGGAGCACCTCGACGGGAATCTGTGCCGCTGCACGGGCTACCGGCCCATCTGGGACGCGGCGAAGCAGCTCTGCGTCGACGCGAAGGACGCGGCGGCGACGAGCCAGCGCCAGGGGACCGTGCCCGCGCTGGAGCGCGGCCACCGGTGCGACACGTCTCGGAAATGCGCGAACGCGGAGCGGCCGGCGCTGCCCGAGATCCCCTTCCCGCCGGCGCTGGCGACGCCGCTGGGCGCCTTCCGCTGCGGCGACTTCTGGCGCCCGGGCACCGTCGGCGACGCCTGCGCGCTGAAGAAGCACTTCGGGAGCGCGGCGCGGTTCGTCGTCGGCTGCTCCGAGGTCGCCATCGAGCAGCGGTTCCGGTCGCGCTACCACGCCCAGTACATCTCCCTGTCGGGCGTGCCCGCGCTCGTCGGCGTGGCCGCGGACACCGACTGCCTCGTCGTCGGCGGCGCGGCGCCGCTCAACGACGTTGTTGCTGCGTGCCACCTCCACGAGGCCGAGGAGCGCACGGCCGCGGGCCCGCTCCGCGCGGCGGCGCAGCTCCTGCGCTGGTTCGCGTCGACGCAGATCCGCAACGGCGCGTCGCTCGGCGGCAACCTGGCGACCGCGTCGCCCATCTCCGACATGAACCCGCTGCTGGCCGCGTGCCGCGCGACCGTGACCGTCGCGGCGGCCGGCGGCGCCCGGCGCGACCTCGACGCGTCGTCCTTCTTCCTCGGCTACCGCAAGACGAAGCTCCTCGAGGACGAGGTCATCGAGTCGATCCGCGTGCCCTACGGCCGGCCCCTGGAGTTCGTGCGGCCCTACAAGCAGAGCCGGCGCCGCGAGGACGACATCGCCATCGTCACGTCGACGCTGCGCGTGGTCCTGGCCGAACGCGACGGCGGCTACGTCGTGCAGGAGGCGGCCTTCGCCTTCGGCGGCCTCGCGGCGACGGTGAAGCTCGCGGACGCGACGGCGAAGTGCGTCGTCGGCCGGCGCTTCGACATGGACCTCTACGACACCGCGGCCAGGGTCCTCGGCGACGAGGTGCGCCTCGGCGCGTCGGCGCCCGGCGGCCAGCCCGAGTACCGCGCGGCGCTCGCCTGCTCCTTCCTCTTCAAGTTCTTCCTCGCGACGTGCGCGGACGTCGGCGTCGCCGTCGACCCGAGATCCGCGTCGGGCGCGCGGACCTTCGTCGACGCGCCGAAGCCGTCGATCACGGGCGCCCAGGCCTGGCCCGTGCTCGACCGCGCGGCCAGGGGCCTCGAGGCGACGACCTACGACACGCTCCACCGGGGCGGCGGGCCCCTGGTCTGCGGCGTGTCGAAGAAGCACCAGACCGCGCTGCTCCAGGTCACGGGCGAGGCGCGCTACACGGACGACCAGCCCGCGCCGGCGGAGACGCTCCACGCGTGCCTCGTGTTAGCCGGCAAGGTCGGCGCGATCCGCGGTGTGGATATGGTCAAGGCGAGGGTCATGCCGGGCGTCGTCGGCGTCTTCTCCGCCGCGGACCTGCCGAAGTGCGCCGGCGCCAACGACCTCGGCGCCATCGTCCACGACGAGGAGTGCTTCGCGACGGAGTTCGCGCCCTACCCGGGCCAGGTCGTCGCCATCGCCGTCGCGAAGACCTACGTGCAGGCGAAGGCGGCCGCGGCGGCCGTCAAGGTCGACGTCGCCGCGCCCGAGAAGCCGCCGCCCGTGTCCATCGAGCAGGCCATCGCCGCGGGCAGCTACTACGAGATGACGCGCCACTTCGTCGCGAGCGCGGGCTGGGACGGCGACGCGTTCCTCGACGAGCCGGCGGACGGCGTCGTCGTCGTCGAGGGCGAGGTCCGCGTGGGCGCGCAGGAGCACTTCTACCTCGAGTGCAACACGACGCTCGTCGACCCGACGGACGACGGCGGCCTCAAGGTGCTCACGTCGACGCAGGCCGTCGCCAAGACCCAGGCGTGCGTCGCGCGCGTCTGCGGGTTGCCGATGCACCGCGTCGTCGCGACGTGCAAGCGCATGGGCGGCGGCTTCGGCGGCAAGGAGACGCGGTCCGTCTTCGCGTCCTGCGCCTGCGCCCTCGCCGCGAAGCTCCTCCAGAAGCCCGTGCGCCTCAGCCTCGAGAGAGACGCGGACATGCGGACGACGGGCATGCGCCACGCGTTCCTGGGCCGCTACCGCGCGGCCGTCGACGCGAAGACGCTCAAGTTCGTCGGGCTCGACGTGCAGCTCTACAGCAACGGCGGCGCGTCGCTGGACCTGTCGGGCCCCGTCCTCGACCGCGCGCTGCTCCACGTCGACAACGTCTACGCCTGGACGCGGCTCCGCGCGCGCGGCGTCGTCTGCAAGACGGCCCTGCCGCCGTCGACGGCCTTCCGCGGCTTCGGCGGGCCCCAGGGCATGGTCGTCACGGAGCACGTCGTCGAGCACCTCGCCCACGCGCTCGGCCACGGCGACCACGGCGACGCTTTACGGGCGGCGAACACGTACGGCGAGGGCGACGTCACGCACTACGCGCAGCCCATCGCGTCCTGCGCCTGGCGCGTGCCGCGCTGCGTCGCGCGCGTCAAGGAGACGAGCGGTTACGACGACCGCGTCGCGGCCGTCGCGGCCTTCAACGACGCGCACGCGCACCGGAAGCGCAGCCTCGCGCTCGTGCCCACCAAGTTCGGCATCAACTTCACGGCGAAGCTGCTGAACCAGGGCGGGTCGCTCGTGCACCTCTACACGGACGGGACGCTGCTCGTGTCCCACGGCGGCACGGAGATGGGCCAGGGCCTCCACACGAAGGTCTGCCAGGTCGTCGCGCAGGCGTTCGGCGTCGCGATCGACCGCGTGCACGTCGAGGACACGGCGTCGGACAAGGTCGCCAACTCCGCGGCGACGGCGGCGTCCATGTCGACGGATCTGTACGGCATGGCGGCCCTCGACGCGTGCCACCAGATCCTCGCGCGGCTGCGGCCCGTCTACGACCGGCGCCGCGCCGCGGGCGACTCGCTGGAGCTCGCGGCGGTGGCCGGCGACGCCTTCTTCAACCGCATCGACCTGAGCGCCCACGGCTTCTACGCCGTGGACGGCGCCCGCTGCGGCTACGACTGGGATCGGCCGAACGGCGACAGGGGCATGCCGTTCAACTACTGGACGCAGGGCGCGGCCGTCGCCGAGGTCGAGCTCGACTGCCTCACGGGCGACTTCGAGGTGCGGCGCGCGGACGTGCTCGTGGACCTGGGCTGCTCCATCAACCCCGCGCTCGACGTCGGCCAGATCGAGGGCGCGTTCGTCCAGGGCGCGGGCTGGTTGACGACGGAGGAGCTCATCGTCTCCGAGGCGGGCCACGGCGAGGACGCGAACCACGCCTGGTTCGGCGCGCCGCCGGGGACGCTGCTGACCAACGGCCCGGGCAACTACAAGCTCCCGTCCTTCAACGACGCGCCGCGCGACTTCCGCGTCGAGCTCCTCGACCGCGCGGACAACGTGCACTGCGTCCACTCGTCCAAGGCCGTCGGCGAGCCGCCCTTCTTCCTCGGCGCGTCCGTGCTCTTCGCGCTCCAGCACGCGGTCCAGGCCCGGCGCGCGGACCGCGGCGTACCGGGCTACCTCGGCCTCCGCGCGCCCGCGACGCCCGAGAAGCTCCGCATGCACTGCCGCGACGCCATCGCCGACGCCGCCGTCGCGCGCCTCGGCCGCGACCCGGCGACGTGGCACGCGAGCGCGTCCTGCTGACGCGCGCGCGCCCCGCGGATGTACCTAACAACCCTTTTTATGGACGCCTCAGCAGGTCACGTTGGCGGCCTTGTCGTCGAGCAGGCGGCCGCCGTTCGTGGAGAAGCAGGCGAGGAAGTCGAATATGGCCGGGTACGCCGCCGCGGCCTTCTCGTCGGGCGCGCGCGGCTTCCAGTACTCGGCGCTGTAGCACACGATCGGACCGTCGTACTCGTACGCGGTCATCTCGCGCGCGGCCTCCTCGGCGATGCGCCGCTGCTCCTCCTGCTGCCACCGCGTGAGGTCTTCCTTGGAGTGGCCCGCGGGCTCCTGCCGCGGCGCGACCGCCGCCTCGTCCACCTACGATGGGCACGGTGAGCACGCGCTTTGGGGGGCTCGGACGCCGGCGCGAGACGAAAAGCTTCAGGTCTGGCTGCACGACGATGCTCATGTTCCTAGTTCGGCCGAGGCGCCAATGCAGGGGAACCGGTGGAAGCGCTGCTGCGTGAGGCGTTCAAGCACCGCTGAAGGACGTCGTGGCAGCCCTTCGGATGGAAAAAAGCCCGAGCCTGACGGTCATCAACTTTCAAGGTGCCCTTCAACCACCGAGGGCTGCTTCGCTATGGGCATTCCACCGTGACTGCTCGATGGCGTCGCAGCCGCCGTGGGCGCGCGCGTCGTCCGAGGACCCGCAGACGACCCTGAAAAACTTCAAGAGCTCGTCGTTCCGCGAGTTCCAGAAGGCCCTCCGCGCCGGCGAGCGCGCGCCGGCGCCGGCGCCGGCGCCGGCGCCGGTCGTCGAGGCGCCGTCGGTCTTCGACGACGCGCCGGCGGCCGACGGGGACTACTACTACCTCGAGGACGTGGAGACGGGCGAGTTCCTCTGCGGCTCCGGCGAGCTATCGCTCGCCGGCTCGGTCTGCGACGGCGCGGCGTGGCTCCGCTCCGCGCCGCTCCGCGCGCGCGGCCGGGGCGACCGGTCGGCCTTCGAGTCGACGCCCTGCGGGTCCTACGTCTGCGCGGCGTTTCGGCCCGGCGGCGACCGGAGCATCGTCGCCTTCGACGAGGGCGCGGGCGCGGACTTTGCAGGCGGCGCGCGGCTCCGGGGCCTGCCGCCGAAGAGCGCGTTCCGGGGCCGAAAGTTCCGGCGGCGGGGGCCCCTGGCGAAGCCGCCGAGCGCCCACGTCGCCGAGCTGAAAGCCGAGGGGTTCACGGTCCTGCCTCGGGTCTCCTTCGGCGCGGACTTGGAGGCGATCGTCCGCGCCGTCGCCGCGCGCCGCGCGACGCTCGACGAGCCGCCGACGGACGGCTACATCTGGATGCAGCAGATGCTCCAGACTCATCCCGCCTTCGCGCGGGCGGCGACGCACCCCGTCGTGCTGTACGTCGTCTCGCAGATTTTAGGGGACGACTTCCACTTCTGCCACACGCCCATCGTCAACACGCTCGGCAAGGAGGACGCTTTTACGGCGCCGCCGACGCGACGCCGCGGTCCGGGCGCCGGCGCGCCGCGTCCGCCGCGACGACGGCGCCGAGCGCCGGCGATCCGTCCAAAAATCGCGGAAATCCGTCGCGATCGCGGCGAGCGGCGCGCGGTTTCGCGGGACCGCGCGCGCGGCCGTCGGGGGGTTGGGCGGTTTCGCCGTTTTCTGGACGTTGGAGCTCCGGGGCTCGGCGTTCGTGATTTCTATAAGGTGCGCCCGCCGGGGCCACGGCTCCAGGAGACCGTCGGGCGGGCGTCCGGGCGAAAACTCGCGCAGCGGTGCACGAATTCCACGGAGCGTGGAAAGCTCAGGGAGCAAAAACCGGGCAGTGGCAAGCGCTCCTCGCCGCCGCCGCGCCGCGCGCGCAGCGGCATCCGCGTGACCCCGCGCGGGTCGCGCTGCCGCACCCGATCCATGGACCGTCCGCGGCCAGCCCCTCGGCGCCGGGAAAGCGGTGCGCGCGAGGCCGCGGCGGCGCCAGGCAGTGGGCCGATTCAGCGATGCAGCCATGCGGCGGCGCATCGACGAGTTCTCGGACGCGCTCGCGACCAGAGGCTCGCATTGATGGTGCGAGTCGATGGTGCGACGGATCTCTGGTCGCGCGTCGAAACTTCGACGACTCGCGAATGTCCGCCGGGCGCCGAAACGCCGAGAGCGAGGACGGGCGGCGCGGTGCGGTCGCTGTCGCTGGTGGCGGGCTGGGCGTTGTCGAACGCGTAGAACATGTGCTACGTGCCGGCGAAGGCGTTGGAGTTTCCCCGGGTTGCGAAATCGGCGTGGGAGAGGTCGTTCTGGTCCCAGATGGCCTCGAATAGCCCGAAAACGAATGATTTCGGCGCCAAACCCAGCGTTTCGCGTCGACCGATCACCGTCGCTGTGTTCCGCCGGGCGGTTCGACATCAGAGAGCTCCTGCACGACGATCTATACGATCTTACGGGGACGGGGCGACGAGGGGCTGGGCGCGGAGGCGACTGCGTCGGGCGCGGGCCGCGAGGGGAAGCGCTGGGGGCGCTTCCTAGTGCATGCACTGGGGTTCGTAGACAGAGGAGCTTGGTGGATGGCGTCGAAGTCCGAGGCTCGCTTGGGGGATGGCGTCGAGGTCCGAGGCTCACGACTGGGCCTGCGGGAGCGCGCGTCGAAGGCGCGAAACAAAAAAGACGCGGGTCCTCGCGCGCTCGGACCACCACGAGTGCTCGGGGTCGGCGACGACCTCCGGCGGCGGGTTGATGAGGCCGAGCGAGTAGAGCTTCTTGTTGCCCGCGGCGATGTTGCGCATGCGCGTGCGCTCGTACTCGCTGATCTCGGCGGGCGGCGCGGGGCCGCGGCGGCGCGACCGCTTCTTCTTCTTCTTCTTGGCCGGCGCGGCGGCCGGCGGCGGCGCCTCGGCGGGCGCCTCGACGGGCGGCGCCTCGGCGGGCGCCTCGGCGGGCGCCTCGGCGGGCGCCTCGGGCGCGGCCGCGGGCTCCGCGGCGGCGTCGGCCGCGGGCGCCGCCTCGTCGCCCCGCTCCGCGGCGGCGGCGGCGGCGGCGGCGGCGGCGGCCTGCGAGCGACGAGGGGTCATCGGGGTCGAAAGGACACGGGGAAGAGGGCGCGCACCTTGCGCTTCTTCTTGCGCGACTTGCGCTTGCGCTTCGGCGCGGCCAGCTCGGCGCGGCGCTGCGCGTCCTCCTCGGGCTCGAAGAGCAGCGGCCGGGCGATCTCGATGGGCCGCGAGTCGAACATGGCCGCGGCCATCTCGACCTCCGACTCGTCGAAGAGCGAGAGGAACTCCGCGCGCTGCTG